ATACTGTAATGTCGCCTGGTCCTCCACCTACTGCTCCAACCTAAACTGTATTTACCTTTTGCAAAAGCGTCTAGTGCGGCTTATAACAAAAGCTCACTATCTAGCAAATACCGCCTCTTTATTTAGCCAGCTTAAAGTTCTTAGCATATTAAGTATTAATTCATTTACTGTCTCTACTTTTACGTATTCTTATCACCATAGTCTTTTGCCTAGTAGCTTTCGCGACTTGGTCCTAAGTATTAATCAAGTCCATCAATACGAAACTCGACTAGCCTCTCAGTATAGACCTCATTTTTGTAGACCAAATATAAAGCAATTCAGTATCCTTTACCGAGGACCTAAAATCTGGAATTCGTTGCCTATTTCACTAATTAGCTCTCCTTCCATATTTGTTTTTTTTATTTAAAGAATTATCTCACTGATAGCCGATCTGTCGCTTAATTTTCTGATCTTGCTCACTCTGCACTCAGCCATGTTCACTAGGTAGTTGAAGGAAGCCTATTAATCCAAGCTTCAAGCTTCGTTAGGCTTCCTTGCCACATTAATTTTATAATTTAATTAACAAACTTTTGTTCATATTGTATAAGGTTTTATGAGTGACTAAATAAATAAATAAATAAATAAATAAATATTCTCTCACGATCATTTTTAATTTACAGTTTGAAGAGAGTAATTTCTGGTTGATGTTTATTCTTTTATTAGTCTTTTATTATTGAACAAAAGTAACTCTTAGAGTCCTACTTGCTTTAGTGTACAAACGACCGGTTTCAATAGTCCGGCGAAATTTCTCATTTTATTAAAGCACTGAGGTTACGACAACTTCGAGTTAAACTGATTTCATGGGTTGTCGAAGAGTCCAGCGATTCCCTTTTCCCAGGTGAGCGCCAGCTCGTTTCGCTTCAATATTCAGGAATGCTCTCGATCTCTTTACGCTTTCATTGCCTTTCGCCCAACATGTTTTGCACGGGGTTTAGTCATGCGAAACCTCCACGAAACATCCACGCAGCGCGCGAGGTAACTTTATCCTGATTCTAAAAATAACTCGAGACGAATTACCTATGGAATAGGGTGTGTATAAGGGATGCCTTCTCTGTCCCCTTTTTGCTCTTTTGTTTACTAGAAATACGTAAATCGCAGGACCTCGCGAAGGACTTCGGGTGAACGGCAAGTAAAGCCGAGAAATTGTTAAATCTAAAAATTGTAAGCTATATATAGAAACATAACAAGACTGTCATACCTAAAATGAAAACTAAATGAAAAGAAAAAGAAAAAAAGAAGAAAAGAAGAGAAGAGAAGCGAAAGGAGGAAGATTATGCCCAGAATCGAATTCGGGAACTTCGGCGAACAGGGCCAAAGCTTTACCACTAGGGCACGTAGAACACAAAAGAAGAATCGTCGAAATTTTATTATTAAAACCTTCGAGCCTTATTAAACCTGAATTCAAAGATATTTTTCAGAAGAATGACTGCAGTTTCGACAGTGAAAACCCAATGTAAATACATTTCATCGCATTTACATGAAAAGAATGGAAGCCCAACAGTCTAGGCCGATACGGTATAAACTCGTCTGCGAGAAAAACGTGTTTTGTTACCGCGATGTTTGCCCATATGTTAACGCTAATTATCCAAAATCGCTTCCATTTGCTCTTAAAGTACTTTAACATTCGAAATTCATTGAGTGATGTTCCCTCTGCCCCGCCTTTGTCTCCATCTTTGTTGCTTGCGCCGTTGAATTTCAAGTCGGCGTTCTCGCTCCAGAGGTTTTTTCGGTGTCAAATCTTCCCCTGCGAGGATTGACAATTCGGCGTTCTTGTGTTTGCTGTTCTGTTTGCATGAGAAATACTTGAGATTCACTGATAGTAAACATTGTTTTGCAGCCGATGAAAAGACAGCTCTTCATGAATACTTTGGTCATTGATGGGAATTCGAAATCACTTTCAGTCGAATGTTGCCTAGAAACAAAAATGCGCCGTGACGTCAACTACTCAGGGTATGACGTCATGGCGGACACCATCGGATATATACAAGTAAAGATGAGAGCTGCGAGTTTGCAGCTCGCTAGGACCCACACGAAGCTCGCGTAATGCTTGCTCGTTTCGCGCGCGACGAGATTATAAACTCACTTCGCTCGGCGCTACGCTAGGAATTAATCCATGTTTTACCAATCCAGTGCAGTTTATGTTTTATAATATGCCCCCATTACTTGCTTTGCACAATATTGATCAAAGATAAAACTGAAATAAGTACGCGTCACTTGCCGTATCGTTCATCGATTGGTTTTGAAGCTAAAACTTATAACAGGTTTCCTATCCCATTCTAAGCAGTAGAAGCTACAGTGAAGCTTGGAAAATCGGGTGAATGAAAGTTTTCTGTCAGCGTTTGCGAAGATTCATTTCTCAGAATAGAAAAACTTTATTATTTATCTTTGTTATTTCCTCTCCTTCCTTATGACATAATTGAAAGCGACCCCGGCTCCTCTCTAACATTAAATTCATTTCCAAGGTGAAAACTGACTTTCAATCCATTTAAGGAGTGAGTTCTTTATGCAGAAAAAAACATAGTCCTTGGTGTCTATTAGTGCAAAACTATGATAATTGTAAATGAACCCTAAAATATACTGGGCTACTGAACAGACCAAATAGATCAGACAATTCGTCTAGTGGGTAACAACTCTTGAAGTAAACCTATTTTCTTGTAACCATCAGATTTTCTCTGACCTGCCAGCCACAATTGGCAAAATTCACTGTCCACTTGGGACAAAGTCTGTAAAAACTTCTTAAATTAATATATTATTGATTTTTCTTAAGTGTGCAAAGAAAGTCCATAAGAACGAAAGTTGCTGTGTCAAAAGAAGCCCAACTCTTTTTTATAGCATTGGGGTGTCGAATTAGGGTTGTTTTGAATCACTATTCTTCATTTGCGTGCCGTGTATCTTGGCTTTGATCACACTGGATATCAGGTGTATATCAGATCTAGTGTCTGAGCACATATCCAAACAAGCATCACGCGGGGGCACCCAACGTCAATTTTCGGAAAATATCTGTTCGGAAGACGATTTGAGATCTAGAATTTTCGGAACATTTGTTGTAAAATTTCTTGCTTGTCTACCTCTCCCAGGATTTTCGAACATCTTAAAAATGGTATAATTGCCCATTTTTAACGGATTTTTACCCTAAAAAGGTCACCTAGAATATTCGGGAGCCTTTTTTCTGGCTTAAATTTTTCGAAAAGGTAACTTTTGATCCCTATAATTTTTGGATCACTAGACCTTCAGCTAGGAAATCCGAACAGATGAAAAATCTTTAGGGGATAAAAATATGCCTATATATGTATTGTTTAAATACTAAAATACGTTTAACAGTGCTATGTTTAAGTGGTTTTGAACTATATTCTCGATGGATGCCCCTGATCACGCACTAAAACATTTGCTGGTCAACTAATTTTGCAGGTCTTGTTTAATTAAACAGTGCATCGATCGTACCATGCATGTTCAGTGTTTAGAAAGGCCATCACCTCGACGAGTTAACCGTTGTTAAATGAAAAAAGAAAGGTGGGTTATTCAGTTAAACAAGTTGTAACGTCTTGAACACCAACAATAATTGCGTGATACGACGATAGCAACAGAAAGAATTGTAATTGGTATATTAAGTAACTGAAAGAAAGATAAAGTCGACTCCGGTACGAGCGGTCATTGTGATTGATAAAGTATAAGCGTTGCAATTAATCTCGGTGACTGTGTTAATGTTATCGGGTTCTCAAGAACTGGAGGCTTCTGCGGAATACCGGTTAGTGCCAAGATTTGTAAATCCGCCTTTCACTTCCACCTTGATCACACTCATCTAGGCGGGTGAGCATTTGCATGTGGGCAACAGTCGCCAAGTTATTCTGCACCTCTTCCTCTGTAATTTCCTTTCCATCCCTTAAGTGGTTTAAATAGTGTCACGGAGAAAAGTATCAAAGTTTAGATTGCAATTATTAAGATCGGTGGTCTTTATGGATCCTAAGTTAACATCGACGACATCATCCTTTAGAGCGTTGCAAATTGGAAGTCTCTATGAGGTGGGAAGCTTGACTTGGTCGCGAGGGTCATCCCAAAGGTGTCTTGCTTACAAGACACTGTTTACGTAGAGTTCTGATTAGACGCAGTGTCAATGTTGTCGCAAACCGCAAAAAGGTTACGAAAGATTTTAATAAAAGATTACTTAAAAAGCCTGACCTGATCCCTCTCGTGTAACTTCATTAATCCATTATGACCAGCTATAATAAGCAATTTTCCCGCTCTAGCTGTTCGAAAACAACAGATTGGACCTCGGAAAAAAGAATTTCAAAGTAATATTCGCGCCAGTCAGACAAAAAAATTTACTCCGCAGCAAACCCTCGCCACAAGAGGAAAAATTTACTCATTGAGTGATCAATGCATCTTTGAAATGATTATCAAGAGGTGTTATGACGGTTATACAGCGCAGACAAAAACATACAAAGAGTTTCGTTGTTCGGGCAGTGACTTAAAAGAAACCCTCGGGGTCAAGACATTAGTTTTGACTAAAATGTGTCCCGCTTTTGAAGCAATGCCAATAAAAACCCCCGGTGAAAACTGATTGGTTTGAAAGTGGATTATCGGTTGGTTAACGTAATTAATATTAGATGCTTCCTGTTCCCTAAGACGGAAAGGGAACCTCCCGTTCTTTCCACTCTTTCACGAAGTAGCCTCATACCTTAAAAAACCTCTTATTTCATTGGACCCATTGTATGTCGCAGCTCTTTTGTTTTTTGGTTAGGTTCCTTTGTTTATTTGCTCATGCGTGCGTATTACTAACCATGCGTTACAGATGCGAGCTAAGCACCTCCTTTCACTACCTTCCCTAGCATGTTTTTCCCGTAAATTAAAGCGAGTGAGGGTAATTTATATCCGTGAAATGTATCATGTTAACAGATATTGCAAAATCATCGTCATCATATAAAGAAATACGAGCTTTGTTTTACTTGTGCTCATTGCCGCGAGACATTTCATAGCAAGCAGTACTGCTGCCCCTTTCTATTTAACGGAATACAAACAGTACAAAAGCGGGCAATTAAGGGAACCGTGAAGCATTAGGTGAGTTTGCCGTTTAGAATAAGGGCGAAAAAATGGATTTGCACGAATTTGCTCTCGGCAAATACGTAGCAAACATGTAAAAACTGAGGGATAAATCTGGGGCAAAGATGGTAAATGCCAATGCCTCTATATTTACAACCTGTGTTTTTTGGTATGCAAATGTGGCATTAACCATCTTTGCCCCATTACTCCTCCGTTTTTACATTTTTGCAACATTCGTGCAAATCAAAAGTCAAGCCACACTGTAGCATAGCACGTTTAAAACAAGTTTAGGGTTGTGAAGGGTTTAATCGGAATTTCAGCTTGAAGAAAGCAAATCATTTGGGATGAGATTCTTGTAACTAGCAAGGACCTACCATATTCGAGCTGCAACAATGAATTTTCTTTATTAAATTTAAAATTGGTAAATGCGAAATTCTAATCGTCTTCACTGTCCATCAGGCTGTTTAGTTGATCTTTTGAGGGGATTAAAGAGAGGCTTTTTCTGGAATGTGACTTAAAGCACGACCTTTTTTTGTGTCAGCTGGCTACACGTTTTATGAAGGCTCAGAGTGACTTTGTTTTAAAAGAAATGGAAACAAATTAAACGTCTTAAGAAAAGGAAACCTTATCGTCATAAAACTAACATGTATCTATATAAAGGGGCAAAACAGTTTGCGAGGGTAATTCAATTAAGCTTATGCAACACGTCCCTGTAACGAAATCAGTGAGCTAGTCATGTCAAAGAACTTCCAGTAACGAAATCAGTGATTGAGCCCGTCATGTCAAAGACAAGGACTGTTTTGACCCTGCTGTATGCCCCAATTTACATTTCTGTAATTTATGACGCTTTGTATCGGCTCCTTTACTTTAGCCTTCAGCATAGAGTAAACAATTCGTTACTTGTTTTCCAATCTGATGGTTTCTGAGTAGTTTTTTGATTCAGGCTTGTCCTCAGTTACGAAAGCATTGCAGCAACTTCTCTTTATAGTAAGATACAGTTTTATTTCAGGAGAATACAGGAGATGGTGGGTTCGGGAATATTTTGCAGGGGTATATCCCCGGCATATATTGCAGGAGCGTATTTTGGGGATATGTTGCAAGGACAGGTGTCCTTGTTTGATCAAGGTGAACTTGATCAAGCAAAGATTTCTCGTAAAAGATTTTATATTTGGTTTTCCCTCTTGACCCCTTAAAACAACGGTTCTATATCCCAATTTGATCTGAAACTAAGGCAAAACAATTTACAAGTAGTTGCTCTCGAGTTGCTAAGGTTTTCGTTTTCATTTTTGATTATGTTTCAACAGTCAGACGTTATTGATGGCGCAACTTTCTATTTACCTTCTGCCACTTGTCATCATCATGTGTACAGCGGTTACAGACAAGAACAACAAATCACTTGACAACAGTGTGAGTTTTTTCATACCTTTTGCAAACACTAAATAAAAGGTTTTAAAACTTTGTTCAAGCTAACAGTTCAGTTTCTTTTTATTCAAGTCTTCAAAAATACATTTTGTACGAATTGTTTCAATAACATCTCTATTTGAAAATAGTGATTTCTTGATCAACTATAGGCTCTTCCATCGTGTTATGGTGTTGGACAACCAGGTACAAATGGTATTCCAGGAGTGAATGGAATCCCAGGATCCCCTGGAATACCTAGTCGTGATGGACGTGATGGAGTAAAGGGAGAAAAGGGAAGCCTGGGAAAGACTGGACAACAGGGTCAAGTTGGCTTGAAGGGAAAGCGAGGGGAAAAAGGAGAGAGTCAGGTCCTGGGGAGTGCCTACCTTCCCTCCCACGTGAACTGGAAAGAGTGCTCTTGGAAAAAAGCAGATGGCAGAGATACAGGCGAAATATATGTAAGTGTTCGGGTTAAAAAACAAATGTTTCTTATTTTGCATGCTCCTTGGTCGTCTCTTGCATTTCATCGCGCTCAGCTTTGTCTTCTCCATCACGTTTCATGCTGTTTAAAATACATTTTCAGTAGTCAGTTTTCTTAAACGACGAGCTAATAGACTATCACTTTCTTTTGCAGAGCTGTCAATTCATGAAGAACTTCACGGAAACTGCCCTCCATGTTTACTTTGATGGTAATCTCAGGATTTACAACTGTGATAGTTGCTGCAGTCGTTGGTATTTCACCTTCAATGGCGCCGAGTGTAGCTCTCCTGGTTCAATTGATGGAGCATTTTATATGGCAACAGCAGCTGGCAAAAACCTTCACCGTCACCGTCATATTGAAGGACACTGCAATAACATTCACAAGGGAAGAGTGCGAGTGGGATTCTGGGTTGGAAACTGCAATAATGGTCATAAACTTGCTGACGCGTACACAGGGTGGACCACAATGTCCCGGATCTTCATTGAAGAAGTCTCAAGCGCCCAACAGTAAATTATATACCAGCAAATAAGGCAATTTGGAAGTTAGACATTACTAGGCAGTCGAATAGAAGAAATGGAAAAAAATCACCAGGGCCACAAGCTAGAAGAGGTAATGCAAATCTATTTCTGAGTTGAGCCGTAAACAACGGCGTGAGTTAAAAAAAAAAAGCCAGGAAGAAGTATGAACATTACGGTATTCGCCTTGTTACACGTTCTGCTATTATTTCACAACAGAAAATTAAAATTACAAATTTGTGAAGCCATGTGAAAAATTTTCTTAGAAAAGCCCTAATGTTGGCTCATATACGGCATCATATATAAAATCAAATTAGGTTAATTGCCTAAATAAAATTTATTTTAGATTCTCTTGACTCTCTTCCGATGACAAGTGAACGACATTACATTATTTGTCATATAACAGTGCCGGAATGATCCACTTTCCAGTAGAAAGACACGTTTTCATAGACTTGCGGAATCTCTTCCTCATAAAACCTTTCACAAAACTGCAGCGTTTCTGCGATGTCTACTTCTTTTATTGTGCTAGCCTCTGTATATTTAATTTGAGGTAATTATTCCATTTTTCACTCAATCGATTAATCGCATATCCCGTACGCGTACCGCGAAAGCGATGAAATAAAACGGGTCTCAAAGCTTTTGGAAAGCGTCTATGCTGCAAATGAACCCACCCTAATTTACCTCCCAGAAGCTTATTGGCTCTAAAAAAAAAAGATTCCTTTGTTTCAGTTATTTGCACGTTTGAATTATAATAAAAGCAGTATTTACAAACTGATAAACTATCGCTTACCACACTGCATAACCTGCTTTGCTAAACAGTTAATAAAATAGTCTCCCACATGAGCTATCTTGGGCAATGGAAACAACGATGTTTTCGTGTATTGTCATCTTTAGAGAATCAGGGACGGCTAGTAGTATTCCCCAAGCAACCCTCTAATTGGTTTAACACAGATATTTAAGCCATTACTTCGTTGATATGACCTCTTTCGCAGTCAGAGAAGACAGACTCTTGCAGCTCTCTGAGGACCTCAAGGGATTGGTTGAGAAAACAGTAAGCGGAGTTAACAATGAAACCTACAGCCCGAAAGCAAAAGAGTTGCGACATAATTTAAAGGCAGCGGCGGATCCAGACCGGATCCAGGGGTTTTTTTTTGGGGGGGTGAAGGGGCGGAGCGGTTAGTTTGGTCCACAAATAAGGGCCCGGGCCCTTCCCCTGGATCCGCCCTTGAAAGGGGTCCAATTAAATTAGAGATTCTGAACAGCTGCAAGGCTACTGTCAGAGAAAAGCACGGTAAAAAGTCTTAGCGAGTCAGCCGTATTTCGCGACCCGAACCTCGCTCCTAGAGATCTTTGCTCGGTCTACTTAAACTCACACTCTGTGTCGTTCATTGTCCATGCTTGGCTGTCTCGCTCTTAACCTAAAATAATGGCTGCAGGAGTAGTATAGTGCTAGATCCTCGTAAACCCGGGTGATTCTGCAACGATCACATTTTCGTGTGGAAACTTTTTGAAAAGAACGGGCGATCGAGCTCCTGGGAATCTACTCTTACTGTATGAGTACAATTTCAAAAGCTCAGTTACAATTCTCCCCTTTCGACCGGCCAGAAAATAATTTTTTCACCTGCAATCAACAAAGAGGACCTCCCTGGTGACTTATGTCTTCGTAAAACAAACGTTCTTCCCTAACCTTTACCATTGTTGCTGGATCCGTTTTACGGAGAATATTCTTGACATGAGTTCCCGAAAAAAAAAATTCAACGAAGCCGGGATAATCGCAAACTGTAACAGGGTTCATACAAAACATTGCAACCATAATTATTTCAAACACTTTTCAAGGACTTTTCTAGGACCAAGTAGATTTTCAAAGTCCATCTTTTAAGGAATATAATTTCACGGAGCTACAAAAATTCACATTCCCAGTCTATTCTATTAAGGCTTGAACCGTTAACTTCAACTTCTGTACATTTTTTAGTTGACTGGACTAATATTGATAGTCAATTATTGCATACAACACATAGCACTTTATGTAAATAACCTTTAAATTCTCTGAGCTATGATTTATATTCTGTCTTGGGCATTAAAAAAAAAAAGAACTCTTTCCAGGCTACTACATTAAAAGTTGAAGAATATTCAAGGACCTTTCAAGGACTTCTCCAAAAATTCAAGAACTTTTCAACTGTCCGCGAACCTTGTGTAACATGGCCTCAAGGATACAAGAACATAAGTCCACGACCGACTTACCAAAGGTATGAAAATCGTAATTTTCTATAAGCGATACGGCTAGTCGAGTGAAAATATTACTTATTTCTCCTTGTGTGTTGAACTACGATTGACACTCTCCATGGCCAGGACCCACAGTTATGGCGATTGTGTGTTGATCTTAGTGACAAGCCAAGTGATGAACAGATCTAGGTGGTAGTGGAACTAACTAGCCTTCAAGGCTGCTTGACAATTCTCAGCCTTTCGAGATTCGCAGGCAAAAACTGTTGAGAAGCGGAATTTTTTTTTACATGATCGTTTTTAAATTCCGTCTAAGTTATCTATATTGGAAATACTTTTGTTTAAGTTCGACCACATCAATCGAGAAATGGGCCGCAAAATTGCCGATCGCCACTAGTGGGAACCCTCTCCGGCAGTGGAAATCTTTGAAAACGTCATGCTTATTAAAAGAAAATCAGCTATTAGGAACTGGGCGCCAAATTGATTGAAATATAGAAACGATCGTTTAAACAATAAAGGAAAATGTAACTCGAGAAAGAAGACACGAATGGAAAAACTTGAAGTAGATATAGAATAAAAAGGATCGCGGTTGGGTTTTGGGAACCCGCCCGTATTAAGTCTGCCGTTTGTAATTCTGATCTATAACGTTCTGGAGGGATATTTTTTCTGTACTTCGTGAAGCTATTGTTGTCTGTGATTCTGTCCGTAGAGAAGTAATTCATAAAAAGTAATTGGCCTTAAAGCGCAGTCTCTTTAACAGATGAGTAAAGTCGTTCCATAATCTCATCAAATAACTTCAAGAACACTAACAGCATTATCTTGTCGTTTTTTTTATTTTTAAAAATATCTTCTTAATATTAGCAAATCGTGCTGAGTTTGTGTTACATAAATACTTTGACTATAGCCATTACTAGTGGCTTTAATAGGGAGAATAAAAAGGCTCAAATTGGCCGTTTAAGTAAATAACTGTCGCTACCACTCTAAGTCGTGTTTCGCGCAAAGGATGTTTCCTCTGTGTCGATCTTCAGGGTTCTGCCTCACACCTGAATCTTCAGAAAGTACCAGGAAAGTACTCTTTGAATTTCTTCTTGTGCTTCTTGAATTCCTCTTCAAAAGCGACAACGGTTTTGACAAAGTGCTGCCAAATTGGGGCTGTACAGGTTTTACCTTCATTTTTTACGCAATTGAAAAGTGGTTCGAACATGCTTGCGAAAATGCCATTCCAGCTTGTGCCAAAAGCGCAGTCCAGGATGGCCCGCTGAGCGCACGGTTTCATTTCGTCATTCTCTATTGTATATATATATATATATATATATATATACAAGAAGAAGAAGAGGAAGAAACAGTTTATTAGATTAGAACGTGCAAAAACACTTTTGTCTGACTGTTTAATCCAATCTGGGATTTTATTGGTTCATCTAATAAAATCTTGCCAATTTAAATGAGAGCAAGGAAAGACGACACACAATTTTGTAAGGTGTCGATGAAAAACAAGCAGGAGTGTATCAGGCTTAAAAACTTGAGGCCACGCCTCGAGATTTTAAACTTGATAATACACCCAACTGCGATATTTTTCAACGGCTTCAATTTTCTCCGATATAGATCAACTCATTCTTGCACTAATATTTAGATTTGGGGTTATTTTGGTGTAAAAATTGGACGTAAAGTTTAGCCGTGTTTTTTTATCAGATATAAAGACACTCGTTAAACATTAATGTACTTTTTTTTTTTCTTTTTGATTTAGCAATGCTTTTTTTAAACTCCTATCCATTTATATACCCCTGTATGCCAGGGAAATTTAATAGAAGCATGTAGGGCAGAAGTCCGAAACTTTTCCTTCTAAATTCGGCTTTAAAGTTGTTCGAATGTTTTCTGGACAAGTATTCCTAGGGCTTGCTAATTCTGAAAACAAAGCCCATCGTCAATCTTGCCATTATTTAAAAAGTACTCTCTAGTTGTGCTATTAACACTATAAGTTTCTCAAACCCTTGCTCTGATGTCAAGTGTTATATTCTTCGATATTTCTGGTATATCATCCCTCGGCGGTTTTAGCTAAAACTATTAATGTGCTGCATTAATCCATGCATTAATCATCATCTTCTCCTCCCTTTTATTTTTAGGAGGTGTTTCCCTTTGGACAGCCATTAAAGAGCTGTCTAATGACGGTAAAGCTTTTTTAATCCCTTGGGAGTTGCTAATTCCAGTTTCCATTATTTAAAATGAAGGCATTGGAGACTCACGAGAGAAAACTATTGAAGACAGGTTTTGTGGCGAAGGTTGTTTTAATTACCGATATCGCCAAGACGCATCTGAAGATCTTCCTAAACGAGGCAAAATAAGAGAATGTATGAGAGCTGCTAAAATTTTGCCTGATCTCAGGTTGTACGAAAGGACGGTCCGCATGGTGAGTACAGAATTATACAGATTTTATCAGAGCCATGCAAACAAACATGGTCTTAATCTGAGAGATAACCGAAGATTTTTCGTTCCCATTTGTACAACGGACAGACTGAAGAGTAGTTTCTTTTTTACAGCAATTGCAAATAGGCAATTTTATTACTGAGGTGATTTTTGTGGATTCAGCGTAGTTTTGATTGTTTGTATTCATTTGTCAAGTTTCATCCAATTCAACTCAAGAGCTGTGATATAGATTTAAAGCGCGAATAAGCTATTTGTCTTAATTATCTATCTTTTTATTCCACCTAATGGGTCTTTAAAGAAACGGTCCAACAACTGAGATTGTAAGAATCATAAAATCAGTAAATGTTCTCAGAA